TAAGATGAAATCACAAATTAGAATTAAATTGGTATTTTTAATTAACGTTAAAAGAATGATAAATGCATTTGATAAGGATCAATAATAATAATCCAAAGATTTAGATTTAAAACTAGATTTTGATATTAAACTTTAGAAAGGTATTTCATCCAATTAATAATCAATTAGGAATAGAATTACTAAATAAGTAAGAATGGCAATAAGCATAGGAACATTTATCTGAAAGTATAAAACAATTAGAGAAACAATAATCTTTTGCTACATTCTTTTAATGTACTTTATTTATATATTTTTTAAGGTATTTCATTATATTAAATGAATCAATGTTAGAAAGCATATAATTAGAGAGAATAAGCTAAAAAAATAAATAATAACATCTATAAAGATTTATTGGATTATTCAGAATTAGAATTAAAAAGAAATCCATAAAATAAATTTATTTTAATAGCAAAAAGTATGATATAATATTTTCATTCTTCAAGGTTATGCATTAAATGATCAAAATTAATATTGGTAAGCTATTAAATAATGTGATTAAATATTAAATGAAGAGCCCTAAAATCTCCATGCTTTATACAGAAAAGGTAATCGTTTATTATAAAGATTTTATTTTATAGGTTTTTCATTAGATAATCTATAAAAATGCAAAGAGGCAATTAATTGCTTTGATAGGGCAATATAAATTGATCCTAATTATGCCATTGCCTATTATAATAAAGGCTTATATATAATTTAATTTTGATAGGCTTATCATTAAATGATCTACAAGAGTACAATAATGCAATTAATTGCTTTGATAAGGCAATACAAATTGATCCTAATTTTGCTATTGCCTATTATAATAAAGGTTTATATAAAATAGAATTTTAATAGGTAATTCATTAAATGGTCTACATTAATACAATGATGCAATTAATTGCTTTGATTAGGCAATACAAATTGATCCTAACTTTGGCACAGCCTATCTTAATAAAGGTTTGTATATAATTTAATTTTAATAGGCTTATAATTACACTATCTATAAAAGCATAATGAAGCAATTAATTGCTTTGATAAGGCTATACAAATTGATCCTAATGATGCCATTGCCTATTATAATAAAGGCTTATATAAAATTTAATTTTAATAGGCTTATTATTACACAATCTATAATAATACAATGATGCAATTAAATGTTATGATTAGGCAATATAAATTGATCCTACTGATGCCACTGCCTATAATAATAAAGGTTTAAATATAATTCAATTTTAATAGGCAATTCATTAAGTTGTCTACACAAATACAATGATGCAATTAAATGTTATGATTAGGCAATATAAATTAATCCTAATGAGGCCACTGCCTATCTTAATAAAGGTTTATATATAATTTGATTTTAATAGGCTGTGCATTAGAATACATCAATAACTAAGATGAAGCCTTAAAAAATTACGACTAGTCTATAATGATTAACCAAGCATATACTTTAGCCTTTAAAAATAAAGGTAATTTTTAATTGTTTATAAAAGGTGCTTTATTAACCAAAATGAAGTAGTATTTAGAAGCCATTACAGTTTATGAAAAAGCAATACAGAATTGCTAAACAGATCAGATTGAATTCGAAAAACTAATTGAGGAGATTAAAAATTAAAAATGAAGAATTATTTTAAACTGAAAAAAAAATATTCATCAAGATTTTTAAATTAACTATATAAACTATAAAAATATTTTGAAAAACTCAACAATTATAATTTTACTAGAATTCTTTATCTTCTTTTTTTTTAATCTTTTTAAAATATTGGCTATGATTTAAATTAATACAAATTAATTTTTATCACAAATATTTATTTAAAAGAATAATATTATACAATGTTTATGTCAGATATTTATCTCAGATATTATTTTAAAACAAAAATATTTAATTATAAGATCAGATCATTGATTTGCACCAAATCCAAATAAAGGAATGGCCTAATAGCACAGATAATAAATAAATTTTATAAAATATATTTATTATCTTGAATTCTCTCAATAACTTATTACAAAAAATTTACTTTTTAAATTTATGGGAAGTTATGAATAAAAATTAAGTTTTAAGATTTTTATTTTAAAATATCTGAAAGTTATTATTTATAGCAAGATCCTATGAAAATCCCTTAATTTTAATTTGAAAATAGCTAATTAAGATATAAAAAATATTTAAGGATTATTAATTAGTTAAGTTATAAAATCTTTTAATTTCATGTTCTCTTTTTATAGAAATTATTTTTTCTACCTTTAAATGTGAGCAAAATATTGACAACCTATAATAATTGTTTCAAGAATTCTTACAGGGAATAGATTATCTATTAAATTTAATATATCCTTATCATAAATATTAACTTTGTTTGAATGCACAATTTAGATTAATTAATAAATTTAGAAAAAGATAAATGAAATATTTTTGACAAGTGATTTCCTTAAGATTAAAAGTTATCATTAAATAAATGAATAATTTGAATCAACAATTACAATAAGCAACTACTACTAAGTTGAAGAATAATTATTTTGATTTTTATCTATATTTATATAAAATTATGGGGAAAAAGTATTTTTCTTTTTTACCAAAATTATAAGATATCCTCCAAATTAAATAAAACACAATAAAAAGCACCCAGGCAAACCCAAATTAGTTAGTTAAAATGCAGAATCATTTTGAGTCTAAAATAACATTTTTTAAAAGTTTTGTATATTTTGGTAAAAACGAAAAATACTTTTTCCCTTAATTTTATATCAATATATTGTAAAAAAGAATTTCCTTTATTAATGAATTTCTAAAAAAGGATGGAATAAATTTTAAGAAGAAATAATGAAGAATTAAAATCTTTGTAAAAGTAATCTAAAGAAGTAATAAACAAATATTTAATTAAAAAATAATAAAATTAAATTAATGTAATGCTTGAAGAAGCAAATCATAAAAATTAGAAGTTAGGAATTAAGATCTATTCAATTTGAGAGTGATGAAATTACAATATAATTTGATTAATCTGATATACCTAATGAATATTGATAAAATATTAATGATCTAGAATAAATAATTATAAAATATAAGGCTAAAGTTATAATATTTCAAAATATATTTTTATTTATATAAACTACTACTATACAGAAACAAAATAGATGTAAGATGAAAAAATATAAAAATATTAAAATAGAATTAAAAAATCTAATAATAACTTAAAGAAAAATCTGATGAGATAGAAACCTATATAAAGGCTATTAATGAATTAAAAGAGAAATAAGAGTATAAGCAAGAAAAAAAATTTAATTGCAATAAGAACTTAATAACACAATAAAATATTAAGAGAAGTAGAGATTAGAAGAATATACAACTTTTAGAAAGGCTCGTACAGAAAGAATTACTAAAAGAGAAGGAAAAGCATGTATAATTATGAAAAGAATAACAAATAAAGCAAAATAAATTGTTTAATGAATAAATCTAAAGTGCCTATCAGCATATTGGATATGAAATCTTAGTACTCTATTTTGATATCTAAAAGAAATTTCATGATAATATAATTCATATATTTTGATAAGTATATTGAGTTGTAATTTCAAAACGGAAAAATAGTATCGATAATTTTGAGTCACTGGTTGATTAATTGTCATACAACTTATCACAAATTGAAAATTGAGGTAGAAAAATAAAAAACAAGGTCTTATAGAAACAGCATAATTTAGTATCAGCAATCAAAAAATTTAAAGATGATCCAAAAAGAGAAAATGCTAAGTTAGTAAAAGAGAGTTTCAATAATAATTCAGAATAAAATCAATTGTAAGAGATAGTTAATAAAACAAACTTTAAAAATAATTAATTAGGAGAATAAATCTATTAATTAAATTGGAAATAAATTTCTGATTAAAAAAAGATTCTCGTCTTAGATTGATTAGTTTTTCAAATGAATTATAAAATTATATAAAGAATTCAAAATGAATAGAGACACTATTATAGGTAAATTATTTTATTTAAATATCTCTAAAGCATATTAGTTTTCTAAAAGACATAAAAGATTCATTAAATAAATATAATAGATTTAATATAAATACTAATTATATTATATTATGAAAAATATTTATCACTATAAAAAAATAGTAATTATTTTATATTAAAAATATATTTCAAACAATCTAAGAAGTTTTGTTTTAGTGTCATTATTAATAATATTTATTACTTTACAAGAATGTTTTACGAAGGAAAAAATGTTTGTTAAACTTTCATTTAATATTGTAATTTTTTTTCAATATCTGAATGTTGGTGCATCTTTGAAAGCACATTTAATTTCTTCTTAATTCACAAGAATAATTTTAATCATTTTTTGAAAATAAATACATGTGATTTAGATACAACTAAATTTCGTGGAAGCTGATTCAAAATTATGATAATTTCCAGTACTTCGAAATTTAAATATTACATAATTTATCTAATTCATCATAAATTTTTTGAATAGTGATTACCCATAATTATACAAAATTTCATAATTTTGCTTCTTTCTATAATACATTCATTTTGGTATTTATGTAGGAAAAAATAACTTCTAATTAACTGGATATTAATCTTCTTTTAGACGCAAGAAGATTTTTTTTGATTATTTTAATTATTCATATGTACATGAATAGTGTGTCATTTTCGTAATATTTTCATGTAAATCAAATAATTCAAATTCCAAAGAATAGTTGAATTTATATATATTTAAAAAAAATTTAATTCTGACGCTTTTTCTATTTTACGCAAAGGCATGATGGAAATTGATTATGATCATAGAATTACTTTTTAAAGACATTAGATAAATAAAAATATTAACAAACTTTATTTATTATGAAAAGTTATTGAAAATCAATCCAGCCATCAAAAGAGCAATTAATTTTTTAAGAACAAACTGTATATAAGTGATTAATTAACATTGCTTAAAAAAAAATATATATAATATTTCAATAAATTATTTTTTGTAATTTACTTAATCATAAAATTACAGAAATTAAAGCTTTCCTATTTAATATCTCAATAAAAGATAAAAACGATTTTAAATACTTTTATAAGCAATTTTCATCTATTTTTATCTCTGTATCTCTGTGACATTATTATTTTTAAAATTGGGATATTAATGAGATTACAAACATCTCATTTAAGGATTTCAAGAGTATTTTAAGCTTTATTTAGTGTTAGATAAATCATAAAAAATTAAGAAAACGAAATAAATAAATTGTAGATCATGATAATAGATAGTCTGAAAATCTTTTTTCTATTCATTAAAAAAAATTGTTAATAATTTCAAAATGTAAGGAATCGATGTCCAAAATAATTTGTTTGAAAAATATATAAATTTAGCTCATCGACTATTTAATTTTATTATCTCTACTATCAAAAAGCATTAATTTGATTTTATAAATTAATAATTTAATTTTAAATAAATTTAAAAATTAATCCAAAAAAAAAGTAATTTTAGATAAATTGTCTAAGTTATATTTTAATTTATTAAATATCTTTAAAACTGAAGTTCAAAATAATACTTTTACTCGATGATTTGAGATGAAGAATGATAAATTAGTGCGAGAGTTATGTTGGTTTAGTATTTAAAGATATATTTATAAATGGGAATTAAATTTGAATTGAATGAAAATTATTCATTCATCTAGAATCCATGAACAATACATAATTGCAAATGTGTTCATCTTATTATTATATTTTTTGGTATACTACAAATAATGTGCAACAAAATATATGAGCATATTTATTTCAAAATCTCACAACCAGAGATTCTATTAATAAAATTCTTAGTTTGGACACTTAAGATCATAAAATTTTCATATGTATATATATATTAGATTCCTTAATTAATTGATTATAGAAATTGGATAAATAAAGATTACTATTAATTGATAAACATTTATAATTATTTGTTATTAATTTAATTCAATCAAAAATTTTTTTCCTGATCTTATTATCAGCATCCTTCAATTTTGATTGATATATGAATTATTCAATTTCCTCAAGCATTTCAATTATGATTGCTAATGATAATTTAGATTTATGCTTTTATGATTTATAAACACCAATTTAATCAAAACAATTTTTTATAATTTTTTCAACAAATTATATCACGTTCTACTTCTAATTTTATTTATTTAAGTAAATATTAAACTCTTGCATAAATGATGATTCAGAAAAGGATATGCCATCATGATTGATGATCTTTCTATCATACATGTGGGTAATAATATTTTTTGCAAATTATTGATATTCAAATTAATTCACTTCTCTAAGCCTATCTTTTGATTAATTAAAATTCTAACTTTTGTTATTGTAATCATCAATTGACTAATAATAAATAATATTGTTACTCTGTTTAATTAAGTTGCATTGCCATTTAAATAATTATAACTCTATTTTTATTAATCAATTATTCTTGATTGCTCATCTAATTCTTCTTTCATTTTTTGGATTTCCTCTAATTGAATATTGTATTGATTCTCATACTCTTTTAAGAATATTAGATATAATGGTTCTGCATACAATGTTTTACTTTAACAAAATTAATAAATAGAAAGACGAATTACTTTTTCATAAAATTCTTGGTTTGATTTTGGGTCCGTTAATTAAAGATTTTGACATTCTTTTTAATAATCTTTTTTCTAAGCACGAAAGCTCTACATAAGTTCTTTGCAAAGGGCTTTTAGATTATTTTAACTTTTATAAAAAAATTCAATGGCAGTCAGATATTTTTGGAGATATTAGTCGTTTGAATAAATATTCATAATATTATTAGAAAATGATTCTAAATTCTATTAAAGATCCTTCTCAAGTTGATCATATTGTTCAATATCCCTTTTAACATTATCTCTTTTTTAAATAAAAATTTATTCCCCATTTTGTTTAAACAATTTTGGATCCTCTTCAGATTTGGATTGAGCCATTTTGAAGCGAATGTATTTTTTGGCTATTTAATTAAAGGAATTTGAAAGTGCTTCAGTACTTCCTTAAGATTATTCAAAGTTTTATTTAACAATATCTTAGATCTCTGTGGCAGTTTCTTAAGTGATTGTTTTTCTTTATACTTAATCTGATATGATATCTTCTGCCAATCTAAGAATGTTTTATTTATTATCAGTAATTGATGCAACTTGTGATACTTATTTCAATGTATCATATTAACCTTCGATATAATTTTATTATGATTTTGGTAACCAGTATATTGCTTTTTGGAGTCCCTCAGATGTAACAGCTGGAATTTATTTCAAAAAATCATTGATTCCCATTTTTTATAAAGATTTAAATCCTTAACCACCAATTTTAAGAGCTTCACTAATGGCAGCAGGTCCAGCAAAAGCCAAAGTAGTTGCTATTGTAATTCCCTTCTATTATCCCCAACTTCTCCAATTAATATCTTATTTTTACCAAGCTGTAGTCACTGCATATACCATATCTGAAATACCTTCTTTTATTAAAGCTCTTCCTATAGGCATTGCTAATCCACAAGTTTTTGCACATATGAAACATCCAATAAAAAATTGACACAATCCTAAAATAAACATTGCAACATATTGCCACCATTTTCTTTTTTTCTTCCTTTTTAATAAATTACAAAGCACAGGTAAAGGTCCATCTTACATAACTTCTTCTTAATCTTTTATAGATTATTATAAATCAGGCTTTTATTTTTCATCTTATTTTTCATCTTCTTCTATCACTGGCTTCCAACTTAATTCAAGTTCTTCATTTTTTTAATCGAAGTTTTATAAAGTGTTTAACATATCATCTATGTTATTTATAGCTTTTTAATACACTTTTATGTGGTTATTTATTTTTTCATCAAGAAAGTCTTTTTTTTATAAACCAAAAGAAATAGGTGGACAATTCTATATATTGAAATCTAAATTAGGTAATATTAAATTTTATTAATCTGAATTTTAAACATCAGTCAAATTCTAAACTTAATTTATTTACATTCTATTTAATTTAGATGCCATTTCAAATCCCTTCTCATCATCTATTTTATTTAAAAACATTTCTTTTGATTACTGCAAACTCTTTATTCCACCTGGATAATCTTCATTTCTTATTTAACCAATACCTTTATAGAAGGAAGCATAAGGATCATTTTTCTGTATTTCAGCTGCCTAATTTATTAGATTGAAATCAGAATTGTTTAATCCTTACAACACCAAATACTTAGGATTTCCTACTTCATTTGAATTCAATAATTCTTCTATATAGTTTTCATCTAGTCCTTTTTCTTAATACTGATCCACATACATACCCCATCTCTCCTCCAAAGCTTGAAATGCAGCTCGGTTTTCTTTGATATTGACTTTTCTCTTTGCAATTATTTAGAATTTTTAAAAGCATCTGTCTTCTTTCAATAATTTTTCCATATCCCTCTCAATTTCATTTATATATTCTTACTCATTATGGTTTCTTAACTCATATAAAACATCAAATAAAGTGGAAAATTTTCTTTGTGTTTGCCTTTCAAAATAATCTATAGCTTCTTCTATTGTTTGAATTTTAGTCATTTACCCACAATACAGATTGTTTTTAAAATTTATAATCAATTAAGCTGTGCCTTACTTGCCTTATCTTGCAGTTCTACCAAATCCTTGATATTAGATTCTAATATTTCTAGGCAAAAAAGACATAATCACATGAAGACCACCATTTCTTTCTAACTCTTCATTTGTATTTAAATCTGTTCCTCTCCCAGCTAAATTTGTTGCTACAATAAGTGTTTCAGGGTTAATTTTACTTATTATTTCTTAACTATCATCAAAATAAGTAATTGGATTAAATTTTTCTAAATGTTTATTAATTTTATTCACATCATTTATTGTTTGATTAATAATAAGAATTGCCCTCTTTCTTTCCATTTATTATTTAACTACCTATAAAATCTAATCTAACCAATCCTCTTCACTTAAAGTTGCTATTCCAGGTTCTTATTTCAAAAGGCTTTATTTAAAGGGAGGCATAAATATAAAGTCTACATTATACTATTTAGCTAATAAATTTTAAGTCATTTTTGATCCTAATGTACCTGTTAGACCTAAAAGTTAACTTTTATATCTTTTAAAATAACTAATGTTTGATATAAAATTAGTGCTAATTCTTAAGGGACTAACAGAAAGCTAATGTTTTAATTAAATAAATTAATGTAATCCTTTTTACCAATGCATATTCTCTTTATGTATTACTCCTGTATTTTGATAATCAATTATTCTAACTTTATCTTTATCAACTTTGTAATTTACATCTTCTTGGAGATAAAATTTAGCTTAAATAGCACTTTCGATCCAAAATTTCTTCATAAAATGGATATAATCTAAACGAAAGGGAAGGAAAAAATTTTTTAAAGTATCTTTTAACTGAATATTTAGTGTATTTTCAATATATTCTTCTAGATCAACAGTTAAATTACCATCTTATCTTGTGGATTCAATCCAAACTTTTCTTTTATTTTTCAAAAGATTTGGCTCTACTTTACAGATTTCATCCCATATCAATCTAAGAACTTTCGTTAGATCAATCATTGCTGGATTAGGAGAACTTAGTATTGTCTTATTACTATTACCATCAATAAGCATAGAATCAACTTCATCAATAATAATATATCCTTATTATCTATTACCCATTGTTCCTAATTCTGAATACTCATGTCTTAATATATCAGCTTAGAAACTATGTGTATCTCCGTATATGATTTAACAATTATAACAAGGAAGTATTCCCTCTTTATATTCTGACACATTTATATTATGAGATACAGTAATTTTAAATAAACTATAAAAAGGACTCAGATCTTTAGCATCCCTTATTGCCAATACAGGAGAACTTGTTACGATGTCAACATTTATTCTTTTCTTTTTACATAATAATACAGACAACATTGCAACTATTAATGTTTTCCCTTCTCCTGTATATATCTAAGCTAAACGTCCCTTATTATCACAATGATTAAATAATTCTATTACTGATAATAACTGACTGGTCTTGGATAGTAAGAAAATAGTTATTTTACGTTCATACATAAATATAGTAAATCTTGATACTCTAATTATGATGAAGATTCTACAAAATCTGATTAAATAGGTATATTTTATTGGTTTTGTTATGAATTGTTGAAATCATTTTGTAATTAGAAAAGCAATTCCTTTGTATCCTAATTACTTCTATAATTTATATAATTTAGATTTTAAAATTCTCTAAACAAATTTTAAATTTGCTCATTATTCCAATCAGTATTAACATCAACAATGAAAGGGTCTTATTTTTAATTTTATCTATATATATCAACCAAATTTAAAAATTCATCAATCGATTTAAATTAACAATCTAAAATTTAATAGATAATCTTTTTGCTCAAATTGTCTGATTTGATATATTAGATTATGATGTCTACTCTCTATTGATTTATAATTTATTTTGATATTAAATTTCGTAAGTTGATTAATTCTTCCTCATTCCATAAAACCTCTTCTGGCATTTGTTTTTCAATCAGTTTTTGAATGTTTTATTTAAAATAATTATTTTTTTTCTCATAAAACATTTAGATTTTTAATTAAAATTTTAGATCTTAAATCTTTATATCATAGAATTTCTATGAAAAAGAGAATTTAAATTAAAAAGTAAATTAAGAATTTCTAATTAAATTTCATAGAAAATAGCATTTTTCTATTCTTTAAGAATTTAAAAAAGAAAAAAAATTTAGATCATGATAAAAAACCTTTATGTTATTAAAGTAAAGCTAATTCTATACAATTATATATAATATGTAAAATAATATAACAAAGCAAAATCTAGAGGCCATCTTGGCAAATTTAGAAAATTATTTGCTAACAAAAAAAAAACTAAGGTTGTCATTTAAATTAATTTACATTTCTTATGGGCAGTTAATATATCATTTTACAAGTAAAACAATAAATAATGAATTGAAATTTAAGGGGAATCAAAGAAGTATATTAAAAATAATAAATGTAAAGAACATCTAAAATTTAATTAAATTGCTCAAATAAGCATACTCAACCAGCTATTATGGTGTCTTTAGATCCAAAACTAACCATGAATAAAAGGTTATCATGCCCAGAATGTCTAAAAAATGAATAGGATAATTAAAATGGAATGATAAGCCTTGAATCTGCTGAAAAAATCATTGAAGATAACAAAGTAATAAATGGAGCAAATTTATATTAAAAACAATTAGATATTTTAGAAGGAATAAATTCAGAATTCAAATTGTTTCAAAACTAAATGGAGATAATATTTAAATAACTTAATTCTGATTTAATTCTTTGGGTTGATTAGATAAAGTAAAAATTAAATTGTAAATCTTTTTTAGAAGAAATAGAGGAGATTATCAAGAATAGTAAATAATTTTAAAATATTTATTATTCTGAACTCAATACTATCACTAATCAATACTTTTATAAAATTAAAAATTAAATATAATGTTTTTAAACTTATGCTTAAAATAACAAATTTTCATAATTAATAGAAAGCATGCAAAAAATATATTATTCTTAATATAAAGAAAATTTTGATATTGATTATGAAGATAAGTATTATGGAGGATTATCAGATGATGATAGTGATAGAGAATCAATTATAATTTAAGAATTAAATTGTACTTGTGATAGTCAAATTTGTTACGCAATTGCTTTTGATAGAACAGGAAAACTAATTTTTTCAAGTGAAAATGAAAAATTGAATATTTGGAAATTTGACTAAGGAAAGATTAATAAAATATCATCTTTAGCTGCTCACAAAGATATCATTACATGTTTTGCTATAAGTAAAATACAAGACAGCTTCATCTCATCTAGTTATGATGGTTCAATAATTTGTTGGTAAAAAAATATTAAAGAAAAATGGATTAAATCTGAAGCATACACTAAACACATAGGAATTGTCGACTTTATACTCTTAAATAAATAAGAAGATATTTTAATGTCCTCAGGTTAAGATAAGACAATTAAAATATGGGATGTTAGATTTACTCAAAATTCTTTAAATTTTTTGTATTAATTAACAGAACATCATTATGAAGTACATTAATTAAGTTTAAATACTAATGAATAACTATTGGCTTC